AAGAAATTCCTTTTCCTCACCCACACCCTGAACTGCTGAATTATTTATTTCCGTGTGGCTTAGACCTTGGAAAGCAGATGGATGGACCCTAATTCCTCACAGCCTGCTCCTTGTAGTAACAGTGGAGCTGAGGCTCCTCCTAAAACTAAGCAGTAACATTAAATAGTGTCTGCTTCCCTCCTTGGGGTTTTGCTCTTCCATCACTCTTCCCAAAGCAGCCCTGCAGTTTGGGATATTTCCCAAATGGTCTGAGCTGCAGTAGTCATTAATAGAAGCTGAGCCAATAGCTGCTGTTGGAAAAGGGAAAAAAAAAAAAGGCTGGGGAAAACTTCTACCCTATGGAAAACTCTCTGCAGAGCTTGTGTGCCTGCAAGGTTTTGCTTTTAGAGAAGGGGCACAGGGGAGGGACCCCGGGCAGGCAGGTGAGGAGCTTGGGATGTGCCAGCAGCTCCGGCTCCGGCGGGTGGCAGCACCAAAACAGCTTCTCCAGGTGACCTGGCACAGGTGTGGAAAGACAAAGGGACCTTTATCACCTGTCAGCCTCCAGCAGGGCCATTCCCAGCCTCGGGAAACATCTGCGGGGAGCCAGGACAAGGATGTGTTTGTAGGGTTTGGATCCCAGTGTCCCTCGTGGTGCTCAGCATTCCCCTGCTCCGTGGTCTCCAGTAACCCGGACTGAGGTGAGGCTTTGCATTCTTTAAGACAGTTGAGCATTGTCAGAGCCTGGTTTATTCCAGGGGGAACTGCCTTTGGAAGCAAAAGGGTGCTCCTGATTCACCTTGGCCTGGGGGGGGAAGTCTGTGGCAGCGGGGTGTTTGCAGAGGACAAGGCCATCGGGAGAAACACCTTCTGTTCCGCTGGCCCCAGGGGCTGAAGTCCAGGGATAGCACTGGGATCAGCTGGGTTCACAAACACGGCCCAGGCCATTCACCCCCGCGGGGTTCGGAGCAGCAGCGATGGCCTCGTTCTCCCAGGGCTGTTTGCCTTCTCCTTTTATCTCCCTGAAAGGCCAAATGACACTCCTTCACCCCAAAAAACCCTTCCCGGGGGGTTCCTGTCGCTGCCTTTTCTCTTTGCCTTCTCTCAGCTGCCTCCTGCGAGTGACACCAGATCCCAGTGCCACCTGGAACCAGCAAATTTGGGATTTTCACAGTTGTTACTCCCAACCCTGCAGTGCCTGAGGACAGAACAGCCCCAGGATTTTGGGGCTGGGAACACTGAGGGAGCTCTGGACTTGGAACAGGCTGCTCCCACCGTGCTGCCAGATCCAGGCAGCTGCCAACCGTCGGGAAAAGGTCGGGCTTGAGGCTCCTGGTGCTGGATACAGGGCTGAGGAGGAAACGGGGAAATAACAAAGCTACAGGTTGGGCTGGGGGTGGTGCCATGGACTCTGCTGGTTTATGACTGCCCTGGTGCCTGCCTGTGCTTGTCCCTTAGGAGGGGCTGGATGCGGATCCTGCTGCAGGTGCAGAGCCCAGCCCTGTTCCTCCATCTCCAGCACCTCCAGGGAGCAGCAGCAGCGCCCTGACGGAGCTGAGAGCGGGGTGAAGCTCGTCACACGCCCCAGGACAGCTCAGCCCTTCCAGCTCACCTGCCCCACGCCCCAGGGTTCTGTGCAGACGCTGGCAGGGAGCTCATTCTGGGGCTAAAATCTTCAAACCCAGCATGGGCTGGCTTTTTTATGGAAAGGGGAGACCCTGTTGTTTTATCAAGGCCAAACCATGGACAGGCAGGTGTGTGTAGGAGAACCTGGAGAACTCCAGAGGCAGCTGCTCCAACCCAGGCCCTTGCTCACCCTCAAGGTCATGCTCAGCTGGGTGGGGGCTGTTTTTTGACCCCAAGAACCTATAAAACTGGCAAAGTGTTGTACTCCTCAAAAAAATACTACCCACCACCACCACACCAGGTGCAGTGCCAGGCTGGACTTTGCCCAAGCAGGATTTGTGACTGCTCCCCTCAGGTAGGAGGTGGAAATGTTTCAGGGAGGCAGAGGGAAGAACCACAGGAGCAGGATCTGGGACAGCCTGGGATCTGGGACAGCCTGGACTGACAGAGCCCAGGATTC